GCCGCCGCCGTGCGGGAAAAAGAAGCTAGCCGCTAGACGCTGCTTCTCGTGATAGCTGCGCGCAACCGTCCGCGCAACCGTCGACTTGCCCGTGCCTACTAGCCCTCTAAGCCAGAAGATGTACCGGTCGTTTTGTGCATCTGCCCAGCTGTGTATCTCGCGCAGGAGATCAACGCGCGTGTTAGGGAGGCAGACAGGCTCGTGCTGTTGAGCGTACGAATCGAAGGACGCTTCTCTGATGTATGGAAGGTGGTAGAGAGGGTCGTCGGGTATGCTTAGCACATCGCTCAGATGGGCGTCCTCTATAGTGGACTTGTGATCCGTAGCCATTATGGTAGTATGGTATATCCGATGAAAACTACTAGGGCAAAGAGCAACGTACGTTAATGAATATCGACAGTAGTGGGCGCATGCGATGATTGGCGGTTGAAAGCGGGCGTCGGGCAGCAGCACTTGGCTACGGTTCAGCCTTGCCATGGTCGCCTACCGACATCTCACGGTGAGTTAGAACTCCATTTGGTTCCTCAAGCTTCCATTAAACATCAACACCAGCCACAGAGTGAAAACCAGGAGTGAACCAGGTCAGTAGATACGTCATGTACAGGACAATGAAAGGAAAGACGAGTTGAATAGCTGACAACATACCAGTTCTCAAAAGACGAACTTCAGGCAGATCTCAATTTCTTCCCCTTGACTTCGCGTATAAAGATCCGTTCACCTTCCACTCTTCTTTCCTCTCCACAATAACTCCATCATCTCACTGTTCTCTTTTGAAGGGGAGAGAAAATAAGAAAAAAAGAAGGAAACACGACGCAACCGATGATAACATGTCTGAGAACCAGAATTGCACAACAACAACAACAACAACAACAACAACAGAATCATTTTTTTTGTCCATTGCACTACTACTCCAAAATCATCATATAAAAATGGGAGGCCTAGAAGAGGCCCTTACGGACGCACATATCTCTCTCTCAAAACCAATGTGGACTTATCTTACAAACAACCACACCCTTCACTGCCTTCTTCTCCTCGCATCTCTCTCTCCGATCCAATCCTTGCCAATCCCTACCCCCCCAGATCCATCTTCTTGCTGCTGCTGCCACTGCTAGCGGTAGTCATTAGAGCTGTAATTTTGCCTATTACCTTGATATCCACCTCCACTACCACCACGTCCACCACCACGTCCACCCCTGCCACTACCCCTCCCTCCTCTATCATTATTCCCTTGATATCCACCACCACCACCACCACCGCCGCTATTACTACTACGTCCGAGTATCTCATCCGCCGGTCTATAAAACCTCTCATCCCTCAACGAACTCCCACCAGGTGCCTGTTGCGGCGGCGGCTGATTTCCAGCACTACCTCCGCCATTCATCCAAGCAGGTCGTTGTTGAGTAATTGGCGGCGGCGGAGCGCCGTAGCCAGAAGGAGGAGGAGCGAAGCCAGGAGGAGGAGCGAAGCCAGGAGGAGGAGCGAAACCAGGTGGAGGAACCCAACCCGGCGGTGGAGGGGGAAAGTTACCTGCAGCGAACGGGGGAGGAGGAGCAAAGTTACCGCCGGGACCAGGGAATGGAGGAGGAGGACCGCCATAGCCGCCTTGGTTCCCACCGTAACCTCCTTGGTTGCCACCGTAATTGCCGCCGCCTCCACGCCCGTTCTGGTAGCCTCCTCCTCCTCCTCCTCTTCCACCGCCATTGTGGTAGTTGTCGTTGCCGCGGCGGTCATTGTTGTAATTGTTGTTGTTGCCGCCACCGCCACCTCGCCAACCTCCTCCTCCACGACCTCCGCCACGACCACCGCGGAAACCGCCGCGTTCATTGGAGCGACGTACGGATTCTGCTTCACCGGGGCTGAGCGCCGGTTTGGGTAGTTTGACGCCAGGGAGGAGGGCGGACTGGTGTGCTCGAGCGGAGCTCAGACTAGGCATTTCGTAGTATACTCTGTTATCCGTCGTAAATTAGCATTTAGCCACTATTATCTCGCAAGTAGAAGAAAGGAAAGAGAAAAAAACTAGTGTAGGGAGAGGGAAGAACATACCTCATGCTCCTGTCCTGCGTAACCTCAAACTCCGTGATGCCCTGCGCATCAAATGGCGGAACAAGCTGACTGTCCATGACAAAGAGATCATGTGGTTCAATATCGCCATGTAACGCGCGACTTTTCGTCGGGTCGATCTTGTGCTTCTGCTGGCCCTTGCGGTACAGCGCTTTCTCCACGTCGTCAAAGAGACCGCTTTCCTGGGAGAAGATGAGAGTTTCTTTACCAAACTCATTGCGCTTCCTCTCGTCGTCTGAGAGTTCGGGGTACTTGGTCGCCATGGCGTCGAGCAAGCGCTTCGAGTCGATAAAAGGCAAAATGGCAACGCCCTGCCAAGCAAACTTCTTGCCATTGAGATCAATGGGGAAATCTTGGGGGTAGAAATCCACAATGCTACTATCGGGATCTTCCATGAGGATACGGAAGGGCTCGGGAATAGCGTGGTTCGACGCGGCGGGCAATACACCCATGAGTTGCTCGTATGGGTGGAAGGGCGTGCCCTTCTCGAACAACTTGCGCGGATCCATGTCTTCGAGACCGACAAAGTCGGCGGCAAAGGGGGCGTAGTGGTGGGGGAAATACCAGGTCCAACTAGGGCAGCCTTGCATATAGTAGGCCAATACCCAGCAGAGACCCTCGGCGTACTGACGTGCAACTTTGTTGCGGAAGGCGATGTCATTGGGGTCGACGCCGAACTTTTGCTCGTAGTAACGCTCCTCGTAGCCGTCCTCCCAAAGCATGATGGTATCTTCTTGTGGGCCATCTTCCTTCTTTGGGGTCTCGACAGCCTGGGCAGGTGACTCAGGGATGACGGGCGTGTTGCGACCAGGTGTACCGTTGTCAGCATCTTCTACCTCATCTGCTTTGCGCTTTCCAAGGACGGCAGTTTCGCCCTCGGGAGCGGGCTCTGCCGGGGTCGGCTCAGGCGCGGCTGTACCATCAGCCTTGGCCTTCATGAGCTCCTTGAGTCGAGCAGCTGCGCTCTTGTTGGACTGAGCGTCTCGGGTATGCATGATATCCTTGTGCACATCGCGCACTTCCTTTGACTGCGCATCCTTGGGGTCGAAGAATACTATACCTGCGCTGGTATAAGTGTCGGTACTCTCCTTGGCACGCTTGAAGCCAGGCGGGCCGCTTGCTTCGGTTCGTTGGCGCTTGTTGTTGTTGTTCTGTGCCTCGCGTCTAGCCCTGTTTGCTGCCTGGCGATCCGAAACTTCCTTTCGCTTCTTGAAGATGCCAGCTTCTCGGCTGGCCAGAGCGGACATGATCTGCTGTACACGACGCATGTCTGGGAAACCGTCTTTGGTCACATAATCATCCATATCAGCGGCGAGATCGCGCCAGATGCTGATGAGTAAGTCGATACCCTGGTCTCGAATCTCAAGACTGGGCAGATGTGGCAAGAAATCGTTACCGACAAAGAAACACATAAAGACCCAGTCATCGAGTGAGCGTTCTAGATCATACTTGAACTTGCGCTTTGGCGTGTCCATCTCTACTGCCAAGTATTCGCGCAAAATATTGGTATGTAGCCAAATGAAGGGCTTGAGTTGGTGCTCAGAATTGGACCACTCTTCAGCGGCTTCCTCTTCGGTGAGCTTCTTGCCATCGTCGGGGAATTCACAGTTGTTTCGAATATGTCCTTTGCGGCCGCAGCGGGTGCAGACCTTGTCCTTACCCGAGTCGTAGAAGACATCTTCTCTGAGAACACGGAAATAAGGCTCATGGGTAGCAAGACTCAACATGATCAGATCGGCATCCAAGCCGTAGATAACGTGTGAAGTGTTGGGGTCATGGGTAGGCATAGAGCGCTGTGAGCGGATAAAGTTCATAATTTTGTGTTCTCCCTCACCAGGCACAGATGCATCGGAGATGATGACTTTCATGTCCTTCCACGAGGGATCGGTTGTGAACTTGTAGGCACACCAGTATTGAAGACTCTCGGCAAGAAGATGCATGAAAGGGGTACCAGGCGTGATTGCATTCGAGTCCCAGGTCTTTTCGATGACCTCTTCGAGACTGGAAATGTCCTCGCCACGACTTGCTTTCTGCGAGTTGAGCATCTTTTGGAATTCAGCACGCTCGTCGTCCTTTTCCTTTGCCTCTTTTGCGGCACGGAAACGACGCGAACGCTGCTGGTTCATCTTGGCACGAGGCGCAACGCCATCGACTGCCATGTAGAGAAGCTTACGGGGACGGACCATGCCGACACAGCGATCAGTGTACTCGAAGATGGCCATCATCATGTCGGCCTCAGTCTTGGGCGCAGGCTTATCTTCAGGGTGCGAGCAAGGATGGACAATGCCGTTCATGTCGAGGTATAGGTTGTCGAACTCTTCGCCGTTGGGATTGGGGCCGGTGCGGTCTACTGGGATGACATGGTCGCCGACCTTTTTAGGCAGCTCCTCTTGCACAGTGGATACGATCTTGGGGTATTTCTGGCTGAGCCAGCGGAACATGGCTGGGACACCCATGATGGCGGTGGTAGGGGAAAGTAGCTGGGAAGGGTATTATTGCGAAAGCGAGAGCGCGCGTACTGAGATGTGAATATCTGAGTAGTACTGCGATGATAGTGAGAGATCAAAGGGTGGCGATGAAGCTCCTGTGGATGATGCGCCGATGAAAAGAAAGAGACTGCCCCAGGGCGATGAAAGTGCTGTCCTCCTCTTGTCACTCTGGATAATATCCAGGAGCACGTTATTTGAACCCTTTTCGCGCGACACCGAGTTGCGCACGAGATGGATGGGTGATGGAGGGTGAGGGGGGGAGAAGAGGTTGTTGAAGTAATGGACGACGCGCTCTTCGCAGACAGTCGCGGCCGAGACGTGGAGTCGCGGTTTTGCCGACGCCGACCCGCCGACGTGAGCAGGGGTAAGAGGCTGAGCAGGGGTAGTGGGGGCTCGTGCGCTAAATTATACGCGGAGCACGTCGTGTCTCCACGTAGTAGAATTACACGAGAGTCTTGGAGGAGTTCAACCATGGAGTCGTAATACCCGGAGTCATAATACTCTACATCTGCCAAAGTCGTAATCCTCCATGGAGTCATAGTCCCCTACATCTTTCAAGATGATGCGAGTTCTCGAGGCCAACGCGCCTCCCAAGCAAAGGGCCACCGACACCATCAGCACTCTTAGCGGGAGGCTGACGAGCGCAACCCTCCTCGAAGACCGTCGCGCCGCCATCCTCGGCCTCCGGAGCTTCGCCAAAGAGTACCCGGCCTCGGTCGCATCCGACGCGCTCAAGGGACTCATCGAGGCCCTGACCAAAGACAGCGAGGATGTCGACACGCTCAAGGTGGTGCTCGAGACGCTGCTCATGCTCTTCCACCCCGACGAGCACAGCCCCGAGGCCTCGCCAGAACTCGAGTTTCTGCTGGCAGACCAGTTCTCACAGGTACGTCCTGTGCTTGTATCAACAACCTAGTGCTGAGCTTATGGTAGCGCCAAGACAACATAACGCTTCTCCTCGACCTCCTCGACACGCCCGACTTCTACTCCCGCCTCTACTCCCTGCAGCTCATCCGCGCCATCTCCCTGGCCCGGCCCCAACGAACACAGGAATGCGTCCTCACAGCCCCCGGCGGCATCGAGCGCCTGGTAGCCACGCTCGACGACCCCCGCGATGCCATCCGCAACGAAGCCCTCGTCGTCCTCACCGACCTGTCCCGCACCTCGACCGAGCTCCAGAAGCTCTTCGTCTTCGAGGATGCCTTTACGAAAGTCTTCAACATGATCCACCAAGACGGCGGGCTCACACAGGGCGGCGTCGTGGTCCAGGATTGTCTGAGTCTGTTGGCTATCCTTGTGCGAAACAACGTGTCCAACCAGACCAACATAAGGGAAATGGGCCACGTCGCCCGCTTTGCCGCGCTTCTGCCAGGAGGTAATAAGCCGAAAAAGGCACGCCCAGGTGTAGAAGACGAGGATGAATGGGTCAGCCCACAAAGCGATAAGAACATCTGGGGGCTGCTAGCCATCATGCGCATGTTCCTCGTCAAGGGCAGTGCGGGCACACTACAGAACCAGAATGTCTTCCAACAACATGGCCTCGTCCGACAACTTTTGAACTTCACTTTCGACCCTGCAACCGCCATGCCCATCAAGATCGAGGCTCTCAACACCCTCGCCGATCTCATCAGAGGCAATGCTCGGCTGCAAGAAGGATTCGCTGGAGAGCAGGTCAGGCCCATCGTTGAACCTGCAACTAATGGCGCTACTTCTCCCAACGGCGTAGCCTCCGTATACGTTATCGAAGCCCTCCTCAACCTTGTCCTCTCCCCAGCACCCAATGAGCTGTTTGATTTGCGCAATGCAGGCTGCGAGTGTATCAAGTCCTACTTCTACAACCACGTACAGATAAAATCCCATTTCCTCAACCGCGCCATCGATGGCCACGAGGGCGGTGACGAAACAGCGAATGCCTTGACAATCCTGATGGCGGGACCACAAGTACCACCCACGGGCGACCCATACAGGATCTGGTTTGCAGCAAATCTCATCTATCACCTCATCTTCGATGACGACCAGGCGAAAAACACGCTCATGCAGGTCAAAGAGGGCGATGCAGAGAGTGGAGAGGAGGTCGTCACATGTATACAAACACTCACAGCAAATCTTATCGCTAGTCTGCAACTCGGCGAAGACGAACGCATATCAGTAGCCTACCTCATGCTCCTGCTCGGCTGGCTCTTCGAAGATGCAGGCGCTGTAGACGACTTTTTGGGTGAAGCGAGTAGTTTGCAGAGTCTGGTACAGGCTGTTCTCACACCCGGAGAAGATCGCGTCATGATACGTGGGCTGTGTGCGGCGCTACTGGGAGTTGTATACGAGTTCTCAACTAGAGACTCCCCTGTGCCACGGCGCGAACTTCAACCCGTACTCATGTCGAAGCTCGGCCGCGACAAGTATCTTGATGCTATTGCCGAATTACGGCGGCACCCGCTTGTGCGTGACTTTGAAGTCTTGCCGAAGACTGGGGGTGGAGGGGGAAGTCTGCCCGATATCTTCTTCGACGAGGCTTTTGTGGACTTTTTGAAAGACAATTTTAGCAGGCTATCGAGAGCGATTGACCGTAACCCGAATATTGAACAGCACCAAAGTCACGACGGTGTTGACCGAGATGTAGTCGATGCGCTTCGTGGGGAGAGTAACGAGAAAGAGCAAACCATCCAAGAACTACGCGCGCAGCTCATGACGCTCGAGCAGAAGATTGATCAAGAACAAGCTGAACATCGCAAGACTCAGCAGTCCGCCGAGGAGCAACGCAGTACGCTGAAACGTATCAACGATAAGTTGCACGACGATATCGAAAAGGAAGCCGCGAAGAAGGATCGTGAGCATAGGCAAGCGATGCTAGAAACGGAAAACAAGTACAATCTCCAGATTGTCGCTTTGAACAACAAAGTACAACAAACGAGCAAAGACGCGAATCTTGCTGTCGCAAAGGTCAGGCAAGAGTACGAAGAGCAGCTCCACGATGCACATGGAACGCGCACCGAGTTGGAGCGGAGGTTGGGTGCGAGCGAGAAGGCGAGACAGGAGGCTGTCGAGAATGTGAAGGGCTTGCAGGAGACACTATTACAAACACGGGCTGAGGTATCGACCATTAGCGAAACTCTACGCAACGCACAGAGTCATGTGCAAAACAGCGAGGCGCAGCTGCAATTGCTGAATGAGGAGAAGGAGCGGGTTATCAAGGAAAAGGAAAGCCAGATCAAGCAGCTGGAAGAAGAGATGGAAGGAAGACTCCAAGAAAAGGACGCGCGACTCCTGGAAATAGAGGCCGAACACGAAACCGCGATACAACAAGCCGGATCGGAAAAGAGTGGCTTGCAATCTGCCTTGGAGAAACTGAAGAAGGAGAACCAGGATCTCAAGACGAAAGCGCAGGATGCGACGTGGAAAGTTAAAGAGGCAGAAGAGAAACTACGGAAAGCTGAAGCAACTGTCAAGTCGACGGAAGATAAACTGCGCAAGGCGGAAGCTAGCGCCAAGGCTGCTGCTGCTACCTCTCAGAAGGGCGGCGGCGCTGGCACCAACAAAAACGACAAAGAGATCAAGGAGCTGAAGGAGAAGTTGAAGAAGGCGGAGGAAGCGGAGAAGGAGAAGGCGACCGAGTTGGAGGATTTGATCATGGTGTTGAGTGATTTGGAGGAGAAGAGGTCAAAGGATAAGGTATGTCTTTCTCTTTTCATTCGTGGCAACCATTGCTGCGAAAGGCGTGTAGTGTGGATGATGTTGGCTAACGGCAAAACAGGAACGGCTCAAAGCTCTTGGAGAGGAGGTGTCGGATGATGAGGATGAGGATGACGAGGATGAGGGTGATGATGACGATGAGGATGAAGAGAGTGATGAAGATGAGGAAGGGGAGGACGATGAGGAAAAGGAGAAGAAGAAATAGGCTTGATCGAGATGAAATCCGAGAAAACATTTGCTGACCGTGATTAATAATGTTTCTTGGTTTTGCGATAAATCGCGTGTGAGGAGCATATATATAGCTTGAGCAGAAACAGCTTCTTGAATGTTAAAGACGCGAATATCATGTCAACTTGCGATCTTGAGATTACATCGTCGCTAGCTTAGGTAGAGCGTAAAGGCTGTAGCTATACAGCGTTTGGAAAGGCTAAAGGAAGATATTTTCGAACGTTACAAAAAAGGTCAGGGTGTTAAGTATTCTCGAACTGCTCTTTTATGCTATGGCTGTTCTATCGTTGATCTAAACGTTATTGCAATAATTCGAGGAAGACTTCTTTTTTTACTCGCGCTGTTTATCCCTCTTCTTCCTAGATAGTGTTGGGGATAGTAGGGGATGCGAGGAAGAGGAAGAGGAAGAAGAAGAAGCAGGAGGAGGAGGAGGAGACTGTATCTTCTTCGAAGTATGGCTCGGAGGGCAGATGGCATAACTCCCCTAGGAATAAGAGCCCAGAAGGATTAGGGGCTAAGGGGGCAGGGTTTGGAAGGAAGGTAAGGCAGGAGAAGGCGAACCAGGCTCGTTCTTCCGTATAGTATTGCCTAGGTAGATGGTGGCCTAAGGGTATACACAGTGTTTTGTTAGTAATATAGCAAGGGACGATACACATTGTATACCCCGACTTTTAACCCCGACTACTAATTCCCCGAAACCGTGGACGTTTATCATTGCCTGTATAAGCAGTACCCTAGATATATATACACCATCTACTCACAACAGATCAACCCTCAACCTATCCAGCACTCTCCCAGCCTCAATTCTACCAACTCGCCCCTCCTGCTCTACAACCTCTCCACCTCATTTCCTAGCTTACCCAACAAAACCTGCCCCCCCACCCCGCCCGCCCCGCCCCCAAACCTACAATCTTCCTTATCGATGAGGAAATCCCTTGGTATTACCACCGTAGTTGAGAAGTGGATTGTGGTCTCTGTTATGTGTGTATCCTAGCATAGGCGAAAGAGCGATGTTAAGCGATACGCAAGCTTTTAGGGACAGATAGTGTTGCGGCTTTTAGTCAAGGAAAGTAAAATGTTGCTACTAGTGAGCTGTGGGGTAGAATTCGTTGAATGCAAGGATGATCTAGGCAGAAAAGAGAGGGTTGGTTAGAGGAAGTGGAGATGAATTGGACATTTATACGTTGGGGTTTATGATAGAGTAGAGGGGTGTCTGCAATCTTGGAAAAGAGAGAAGTAAGTTCGTAATGCTTTGGGTTTGAACGTCCTGCGTGAGTCAATTTTATAGCGTCAGAGATCACAGCGTTAGGCACGTTCTGAGGAGGCCAAGAAGTGGCTGCCAACCGCCTTATAATTTCAATTAGAATACGAGGAGGCTCATTCTTTCTGAGCAATGTCCGAGATCATACCGATGTAAAGCTGACCCTAAAAGTGTAGGCAGTACTTTATATTTAATACTGACTAAGATCCAACAGCGTATACCTCTAGGCTGGCGATAAGCCTACCAGTTACATGCTGGTGAAGCATTGCCCTTTCCCACTGAACATGAGGCTCATCTCCACATGCTCCACCAACCACGCAACCACTGAAGCTCTTTACGTGATGCAAGAAACATTACCGCTAGCCGCTACTTCGCCTCGGATCAGATCGATAGTGATGGCGTCGAGCACATAGTACCATCTTTTCTCGTAAAGCCTATCTTTATTGCCCGTCTGGCGGTAGCTCCAGCGCCACCCCCAACGCTGCATACACGGCTTGGATGTATGACTTGGTCCGAGTACCGCCCAACAGTGTCGCGTCCATTTTATTCATCATATACGTCACCGTCAGCTTCCGCTCTACGTCCATAATCACCACACTTCCACCCCAGCCTCCCCATGTGCAGACCCGACCCTCGGGCAACCATTCCATAATGGTGTCTTTTCCTGTCAATGCAAAGCCTATGCCCCATCTGATTTTTTGGCCGACGACAAGGTCGCGTCCGTTTTGCTGCTCCTGAAAGATGAGGTCGATCGTCGCAGGCGAGAGAAGTTTCCGGCCGCCGTTGATGCCTCCAAGCGAAACGGTCGACATGATGCGCCCGACGCCCGCAGCGTTGGAATGTCCGTTCGATGCTGCGAGTTCCGCAGACCGCCAGAGGGGCTTGTTGGCTTCGGTTGCATCCATGGACGGATTTCCCAACGAATTAGAAGGATCAGTGTAGTCAACTTCCTTGTCAGGCAAGTGCCATGGAGGCGGCGCACTGATGGTGGCAACACGGCTCAAGTCTGCTTCCTTGACACCGTACTGAAAATCTGCGCCTAGAGGCTGTACAAGTTCTTCCTGGACAAAATCCCCAAAAGGTTTGCCTGTGACGCGAGATACGAGGGCGCCGATGAGGGGACCCATGGTCAACCCGTGATATCCAGACGCACTGCCTGGTTTGAGCATTGGCGCCTGTTGCTCAAGCATCTTTACTGCCTTGTCCAAATTGCAGATGTCCTGTACTGAAACCTAATTTTAGGTGTACAAAGTCAGTGTATATCTCACATGCAGTTCGTTCATGGACATTTATTACCTTCTGCGCCCAACTGCACAGGCCAGACGCATGGCTCAGCAAATGTCGTACTTCGATATCTTCTTTTCCGTTCACGGCGAACTCGGGCCAGTACTTTGCGACCTTTTCGAACGGGTCTAGGAGGCCTCGTTCGATGCAAATAAGTGCTGCGAGACTGGTAACGGTTTTCGTAGTTGACCAGACGTTGACGAGGGTGTCTTCTTGCCATTCGCGCGTGCGCGTCTCATCTACGTAGCCACCCCAGATATTAACAACGTCCTTGCCGTTAATATTAACGAAGATGGAAGCGCCTATATCCTTGCCGTCTGTGATGCTTGCCTGTAGCAGTAGTGCCACCGCCTTGAAGCGGTCTTCGTAGGAGCCGTGAATGGTTGCCATTGTGCAGACTCTATATGCGTTCTGAGATTGTGTGTTTATAATAGCCAGAAGACAGCTGAACTCATCAGCGATATGGCCTATCTTTTTATAACCATCAACATATCAATGTCTCAGAGTGAACATCCGTCATCCATCATACAGACAGATACACTCCGTATTCGGCCCGTATTCGGTGTTCGGAGATGTCGTACACTCCGCAACCGTGTGCCACTGTAGCTATTCGAAGAGCTTTGGTAAAGAACTGGTAGCGAGTGATCACCAGATTGAGTTGCTTACTTGATACCCACATATCCTTCAGTCTTAGTCTTGTTTAGGAAAGTAACTCCATACCAAGCAAAAGCTGCGGGACTAGACGCATCCGATCACGTTCCCTGGATCCAGTGGCGGCACATGCGGAACCTAATTGGGAATTGAAACTGGCTTGTGGTCCAAGAAGCGCTGTCTCGGCGATGCAATGTTCGCCGCGCTGAAGGGAACGCATGTCTGCCATATCATAGTGGATCCACTTGATTGGCTGTGCTCTGCGACGCTGGCTTACCAACTATAGGCCATACAACACAATCCTGCCCGAGCCGAGATAAGGCATCACAAAACGTTTTGTTCCGGTCATGGTAAAGTTTCCGACGGACCAGCAAGTGAGCTTAGACTTGTCTTATAAAAGCTACGCTACTAACGACGACATCAACAACAACATCGACGCCGTAGCTCTGGGAAGTTTTATTTGTGTCTAAGATCAGGACTCTCAGCGTTTGACCAATTTTGCACTCCAGCATGTCTATTCACGATTCCAGCATCACCAGCACGTTCGATTTACACAAAGCGATGCCTCCGGGGATCAGTCAGGCTCCACCAATGGGCGAGTCGTATGGAAAGGCCAACTCCGGTCCTATCTTAGCATCGACTTCGAGTAAGGCTCCAGATGGTGGTCTGAATGCGTGGCTAGTAGTGTTTGGTGCCTGGTGTACCTCCTTCTGCAGTTTCGGGTGGAACAACAGTATGTTCATTTGATTACACTGCCCTCTCACTTCTGGACGCTGACAACGCGTCTCTTCCAGGCATTGGCACTTTTCAGCAGTACTATCAAACAGAGCTTCTGCAGCAATATTCGCCAGGAACAATATCCTGGATCCCCTCCTTGCAGATATTCTTCATGTTCGCTATGGTAAGTATGCATATCCATGTGGACTACCTACAGGATTCTGATCGTCACTCAGGGTCCAATCGTTGGCAGACTTTACGATCGTTACGGGCCACGATACCTGATATTCATTGGGTCCTTTCTCCATGTCTTCGGATTGATGATGACGTCCATCTCAACAGAGTACTATCAAATCATGCTTTCCCAAAGCGTCTGTAGTGCTATCGGTGTTTCACTTATATTCCAGCCAGGTCAGTGTCTCAATTTGTGAGTATCATAATAAGAGTTACGGTTTCTAACCCCACTGAAGCTCTAAATGCCATCGCCGGCTGGTTCGATAAGAAACGCGGTATAGCCTATGGCATCCTTTCCACTGGGTCTAGCGTCGGCGGCATCGTCTTTCCCATCATGACTAGTCGCCTCATTCCGTCCGTGGGTTTTGCATGGACATTGCGTATCGCTGCTTTTCTGATCCTCTTCTTGCTTGTTCTCGCTTGCTTGACTGTCAAGTCTCGATTTTCTCCCAATCGGCAGGTTGTTACCAGAAAACAACTTGTTGCGCCATTCCATGAGCCAGAATTCCTTGCTCTCAACGCCGGACTATGTTTATTCACATTCGGCATGTTTATTCCAATCAACTACTTTGTGGTGGAAGCTACAGCCAATGGGATGAGCCGAGGTATAGCACAATACCTCGTTGCCATGTTCAACGCTGCTAGGTACGCCCCCCAATTTCCATTTCCTTTCTTCAAGCATTGGCTAATGGCGGCTTTGCACGCAGCCTCTTTGGTCGTCTCCTCACCGGATATCTAGCCGACCGTATCGGAAAATACAACGTCTTCACCTTGGCCGCGTTCGCCACCGGAACAAGTACCTTAGCCTTGTGGCTTCCATCCGGCAGAAACGATGCTGCACATATCGCGTATTCAGTTTTATATGGATTCTTCTCCGGCGCTTATGTCTCCCTGATTGCGGGTCTGGTAGCACAAATTTCTCCAATAAAGCAAATTGGATTCAGGACGGGACTGGTGTTCTTCGTCAACAGCATTGGAGCGTTAACGACGTCGCCCATTGCTGGCGCGATCCTGGACAGGGAGAATGGAAGATGGACGGGAGTCAAAGTATTCTCTGGTGTTCTCTGCATCGCAGGCACAGCGTTCGTGTTTGGGGCGAGAGTCTACAAAGTCGGCTGGAAGTTCAATGTCCTCTTCTGACATGGCAACAGCTTTGGCTGCAATCACACCAAGGTTATGTTGTCATGTTTTTAACTCGATTAATTACATCTTTCCGACATGACTGATCAATTTATAGAGACATTCAGATGTATAATTATAGACTAAG